GAATTCGAAGAATCTGTACCCGTTCGAACAATTAACACACTTCTTCGACCTACCCCCTTTTCCTCCATCCTTTTTTTAAATGTAACATATAAGAAAAACGAGTTTTTCTCAAAATTAGCCACATTGTCGTGAGCCTGTGTCGTAAGCCTGGACTCGTTATTTATATATCACTGTCAACAATTAAATAAGCCGAGGGCACGTGGGGAGGTAAGGGTAGGGGTGGGGGTAAAAGTTCGAACTAATGTTTGTCAAATATTTGCCGTAGGAGTTTCATAGTCGTTACAACAGTTTAACGCAAATAAATTGTAGTTTCATTAAATCCCGGGCCAACTCCATCAGCCTTGGGCCCTCGAGGGAATTCAGTTGTTCAAGGATCGCCAAGGGATCCGTACGGCCTTGTTCCGTGATTTCGAATCTCTGACAGAGAGAAAGAGAGAGAGAGAGAGAGAGAGAGAGACTGGAGATAGCCCGATGCTCGGAATAAGCCAATAAAGGCAGGCAAACTTCGTTTCGTTTGTTGATATTAGATGATTTGAACAGTTGGCTATGTATTCATATGTTGAGGTAAAAGAAGAAAAGGAAAAAAAAAAAAAAAAAATTGCGGTATTTCTTAGCGAGATAGTTCGTTAGCGGGTATTGTGATATTTCAGATTCAATTTTATTGTTGTTTGAATGAATTTTTCCGGTTTTAAAATTAGACGGTCGAGAGAGGTCTATTTCAAAAGATTTTGAAAACTGTATATATCAACGAGGGGATTTTTTGATAAAATTTTTAAGGAATTCTCCGATATTTAAACCATCAAACGAATTTGCCAACTTTTTGTCGGGAGAGTTACTTTTTTGGAAGGTGGACCATCGAAATCTGGTAAAAAAAAAAAAAAAAAAAAATTGTGGAACGGGTTTTTTAACCACTTGAGAGGGGAAAAAATGTGAAATTTTTTTTTGAATATCACTCATGATTTTATCGTTACAATTCTACAGAACAATATCACGAAAAAATTGTATAAAACATTATTCGAAACGAACCTCACTAAAATTAATAAAAACATTTTTGTTTTGATTAATGCTTCTCATTCAACTATTACTCTATTATCAAAAATAATAAAATAATAAAAATAAAATAAAAATTCTATACAAAGAAGAAAGAAACAATTCAAATTCTGCATGATTTATACCTTTTTTTGTGGAAACAAAGAAAAGAAATTAAAAATGAAAAATTAAAGATCAAAAATCAGATAGATCAAGAAATATAAAATTCCATATCGATACCGAATTTAATAATATAAATTATAAGATTAAAAAATACTCTAGATGTATCGATTAAACAGTACGTCATTAAAAAAAAAAAACATTTCCACGCTCGATATAAACGGCAGGAAAACTCACAAATCTTCATACGGTGACGATAGCCGTTAGTTCGTCAGCTTATCGATCGTCATTGCTGAGAAATTGTGCCCCTGGCGATTCCAAAGAGCCGATAAATAAATCTCGTTTGACGTGATTCACAGTGAACATCAAGACTATTCCTGTACATGTCCTACAAGAATATATATATATATATATTTTAAACTATTATTCTTTTCGTTGAAAAAATATCACAAAAATCATAGAAGATTGGTCGTATATTGTACAGAGTGAATGACAGAATGGTTTAAAAAATTATTCATAATTATCGTATAAAAGAAAATGTCGAGGATGAAAGTCGTACGATATAAAAAAGAGTTGTAACTCGATACTTTTATTTCCTTTTGTAAATATATTTTCATAAAGAGCATACGAACTTTATCTTTCTAAATGGAATCAAAAGAATTCTTTTTAACACGATTTATTCGATACATCAATATATTGTATATTGTATCGAATATATATAATTACACGATAAATCAATATATTACAAAATAAAGAAAACCAATTTATATTTATAGAGGACATACAGAGAGACGAAGGAAATCAAGAGATATTCAAGTAAAAATATAAAAACAATCTTAATCTTTAATTTCTCGCTTTAACTATGATTTAATTTCAAAAACGAACGTCCTCTATATCTTCATCCACCTGACAAAATTACATAACATCAATTTACATCTCTCTGTGCTATCTTCCGTACAAAATATTTTTTCCTCGATATATTTACAATTATTACAATTTTATTTTATTACAGTTCATTCGTGCATTTGTTTCGAATAATGGATTCGGGAAAAACACAAATTGAAGATTGAATCGAGGGATCATCTGCTTATATTGGCGGGTTGTTCCGGGTCAGAGAGAATGGCAAGAATTCGCTCATCCTCTCCTCATCGATTATCGTGCTTTCAAGCTTCATCCGGCTTTCGCCCGACTTCGCCGATACGTTCTCCTTCGTTTATCTCGTTGCTTGGCGATAATCGTCGCGGAAAATAAATAAATGATAAGCAAACTAGGATTCATTGGAAATTCAACCGGCCATTTGTTTCGTTTCAACGATAAATTGTTCGGTGATCAATATCCAGGTGATATTCGTTATTAATACAAAGAAAAATATTGGCAAGAATAATACATTTTTACTCATTTTTTTTTAATTATATTTAAATTCTTTTTTAAATATTTTTTTACAACGTGTATCGAGAAATGATTAAACAATAGGAATAAGGATTTTCGAATTATTCCTTCTTTGAAATATCCTTATTTCGTTTTTCTTCTTTGTTTAAAAACTTTGATGTTGAAAGTTTTGTCGATTTATTATGTTCCTCTTTTCATTTGCTCGAGACGATAAATCAATAAACGGTTTAATTTTTTTTTTTTTTACTATTTTTCTCCCTCCCTAAAAATTTCTATGCAAACGTATAAATTTATACGTACATGATCCTATCTATCTAGGAATCTGCATTGCCATTTATTTATAGTCAGCATGAAAAATAAAAGTGCATATATTGGACGGGATAACGATGTTCGATGAAATAAAACTGTTTATCACGGTATCGATGCGATGCTAGAATCCGCGACCAATCGTGGACTTTCCACCGGAATTGAGAGGGAGAAAAATTAGTCGTATCTCGGCAAAAGCAAAAATATTATTCGCTATGATATTCGATATTTTTTTTTTTTTTTTTTTTTTTTTTTTTCTCGTAAAAGCAAAGTCTATCGATCGTTCGTAAAGCTGGAATCGACACGCGGCGATTCGTTATAAAAGAAGAATAATTTGGATAAAGTTTGTCGTACGTTTCTCGTAAATCAAATCAATTTTAACGAAGAAATCGCTGGATTAAATCTCGTTCATATATTTCGATGAATTATTGCCAATCGAAATGTATTGCCTGTGAAAACGGAATCGACATTTCCAGAATAAAAGAATTTAAGATGTAAAATTATAGTTAAACAGTTTTTTCTTTTTATTATCGAGCAACATTTAAAACGAAAGATATGAATTTTTATGAATAATTGTTATTAACAGATTAGACCTATATCATGATCGAGGAAAAAAGAAAATTTCAATTATTAATTCAAATCAACAATTTTCAACAATTTTCACCGAAAATAATTCGATACACGCCATTACGTATAAAAATCAAAGAAAAATCACTATTTCTCCAATCGGATACCTCGTCGATACACATAAAAATTCGAAGAAATAAAAAAAAAAAATCACTACATCTTCAACCTGCTAAAGCACTCCAATTCAAATAAACTGCAATCAATTTAAAATTGCGGAAAAGGAAAGAGTAAAAAATCGAATAAAAATAGAATTAAACCCTCATAAAATTAACGAGATGCGAATAATTTAATCGAAAATCCAGCCAACGAATTTCCACGAAAAATAAAAGAAATTCAAAGAAGGAAACAAAAAACCACTTATATTTCGATCATCGAAACCCTTCGATCTACTCATAAAAGAGGAAAGAAGAGAGAGAAAAAATCGAATTAAATCGCTACGTCAATCAAAATACGAGTGATTTCTGAAGAAAAAAAAAAAAAAAAAAAAAAACAGAAAAATATTACAATTTCAAATTCCCAGACCAGCAGAGGGAAGGTATTCACTTAGAAAATCGTTTTTAACGATCATCTCTCGGATCGGCGCGGAGGGGCGTTAGAACAAAGTTAAACGTGGAGGAGGAAGGTGTAATTGCGTTACCACGGTGGAACACTAATTGCACGATGGTCCCTGCCTGAATCGAATTGTGTCATCCGTACTGTACCGGCTAGTAATGGGTCTAAGATCAAAGTGTTGTGACGAACCCCAGTGGCCCAGTGAACTGAATTTCCAATTCGCGTGCAAACAGGAACTGGTTACATCCCCTTCCCCTGATTATCCGCCTAAATCTGTGAGAGACAATGGTTTCTTAACAACCTCGATAATTTTATATTAAAAGCGATACGAGAAGGATCCAACACGATATCAGGCTTCTCTGTCGAGAAATTTAAATTTAATTCATCACGAAAGAAGAAGATAATAATTATCAGAGTGCCAATACTTAAAAAAAGAAAGGAAAATGTTGACTGGGTAATGAAAAGAATAAATAAAAATGTAGTGGTTTAGCTGAATGAATATATTTAATTATACGTGATTGCGTATCTGTTTACAAAACATTTGAAGTATGTGTATGGAAGAAAAACAAATCGATACCAACTATGAAATAATGATGTTGCTGGCAACAATTCGATAAACCACATATAAAATTTCAATGAACTTTAAATTCTATAACAAAAAATAAGGAAACCCAAACAGACCTAGATACGATTAGTCTGCCCCTTGCAATCCCTTCACACGGCATCTGGCAAAAAGATCCAGCCGAATAATCAAACTACTGGCCCTACGAGCTCGAGATCGTGAAGGGTCGATCGATCTCTCGTGCGTCGCGCGCCGATGAATCTCGAGAGAGTCTCGAAGAACACTGGCTCCCGTCCAAGGGAGCACGAGCGTCCAAACCCTCGACCAACTTACTCTACCCTCACCCTCGAACGCACGAAAAACACGAGGAAGACACGCGAGCTATATTATAACGAAATTGAGAAATATCACTCACCGAGCTGGCATCGATCGCCACCCCTTCCCAGGGGGCATTGACACCGTTGCCTGAAGGACCCTTGCTTCCGTCTCGGTGCGACGTCGTTCCCTTCGAGATCCACGGCCATCGAGGCGTCGCCCCCCGTCTCGTCGTCCGCGTCGTCGTCGTCGTCGTCGTCGTCGATCAGATCGACGTCGTCGCCGTGGCTCTGCTCGATGTAACAGTTTCCGGCTGGGCCACAGTCTAACGAGCACGCTGGCTCCGTGCTCGCTATGCTCTCCATCGTGGAAGGCAGTTTTTGTTCCAAATTGGGGCCCTGGATGAAACGGGTTTTAGAATAGAATAATTTTCGAGAAGATTCTTGGGAAATTAAGGTTCTTTTATTTTTTTTTTTTTGGTGATTGTAGATTTGAGGATAAAAGAAAAATAGTTGTTTTTTCTTTTAATTTTAATAGGATTTTAGAGAGAGGAATAGGAGAGGATTTTAGAAGGGAAGGTTTTTCTTTAATCTTGGTACAACTTTGGAAAATGTTGAAACTGAAACTGTTTTCTTTTATTGATGTAGATAGAACAGAAGAGAGAGGAGAATTGTCTTTCCTGATACTAGTTTCCGTTCTGTTTTTAATAGTAGGATATACTATAACTTTGAAAGAAGTTAAAATAGAAAGTTATTGATATATCTCCTATTGTATCTTCCTTTCTAAGAGAAAGAAATAAGAAAGCAACGTTTTAACGTGGCTTTCAGTATCAAGGAAAGAAAATTGTTTTTCCTGCTAATGTAAATTTGAAAGGAAATATGGAAGAAAGCTTAGATATATTTTTATCTTTGGGATCAAAGAAAAAGAGAAATCAATTCTTTGATGTTGATATAACTTTGAAAGAGAAAGAAACGTCAAATTATTTTCAACCGGTGTTACCGTTGTATTTCTTCTAGAAGAGAAATAGAAAGAGGAAATTATTTGGTGCTGTTGGTGCAGATTTGAAAGAAAATATAGCAATTTTTTTCCCCTCCATTGTTAGTCGAGAGAAAATTCGAGAGATGGCAGAAATGGAGCAGGAACTGATTTTTCGAAGGACCTGTTGCACGTTTTTATCCGGAAGATCAGGCTAGACGAAGTCCGGATTGCATGGAAACGAGCACAGTTTTTTTTTTTTTTTTCTAAAACAATTCTATTTTTTTTTTTTCCATTTTTGACGAGTGAAAATGAGATTAAATAGAATAGCGAATAGATAGAAACGTGAGCATAAAATATGATTTAGAGATTTTTTTTAGAAAAAAAATCTTATCTTAATTCTTTAATTTTTAAGAAAGAAATATATTTTCTATTTTTCTTTGAATTTTAATTGGCACGTGCGATGCAATAATACAATTTCAAATAAAAAAAAATTGGAACGGTAAGGGTATAAATAAATAAATAAAAAAAGATTCGACAAGTTCGCTCGAATATATTTCACTAGAAGCTATTTTAAATATTGGAATTGAAAATGATTCATCGAGCGTTCTAATTTCCCGAAATTTCACGAATCCATATATTCGACTAACCAAACGTGACTGACATATTTAACTTTACATAAATATTTCATTTATATTTAAAGATATTTATACTTGCTTCTACATACATATATATATATATAAATCTTATTCTCGATTAAGATACATCATTTTGCATAGCGATACGTTTACGAAAAAATTTCTAATTTCACTTAGAACAGAGTTTTTTATTATTCTTCTATCCGCGGGTATCCAGCTTATTAAGCTTAAATGAACAAAAATAGTAATCTAATTCTCAATTGTATTATTAAGAGAGATTAAAATCTTTATACGGCTCCATATTAAAAATTCGATCGAAGAATAATATTATGCTCTTTCCGTTCCATCTATTTTTTTTAATATTATTCGTAATCCAAAAATCAATAAGAATTTTTATATTGAACAATGAGTAGCGAATTTTCAGACTTTCTAGAGAATTGTATTCATTGAGACGCGAATTAAGATCGAGATCGAGTCAGCATCCGGTAAATAATTGTATAACAATTTTCCAATTATCTTTCTTAATCCTTAAACCGCGAGATATTTCACGTTTATAGAGGAAAGAAAGAGCACGAAACGAAAAGGAAGAAGAAACGAAAGGACAAGCGAGTGGGAAAGAATAAGAAAAAAGAAATGGAGAGAAAAGAGATATGGATGGAATGACAAACAACTCGTGAAATTGCGTTGCTTCCGGATAAATCGACGGCTGTTGGATCGATCATTCGAGATAGATGCAAAGAAATCCGGTCTGGATTATAAAAAAAAAAAAAAAAAAGAAAGAGAAATAGCTTTGAGCATTTTTAGACGAAAACAATATTTTCCTGCGTGTATCGCGACTTATAATTCGTGAAACGTAAACAGAGAGTTCGATTTATAAACTAGAATCGTACAAGAAGTGAAAAATAGAAGAAATTTTTATATACAATGTGTTAAATTTGAAAACGTTATTATTATTTTCCAATGATAATATTTATTATTTCAATGTTCGAAATATAAAATTTTATCGTTCTTTTCAATCGAAAAGATTGATAAAATTTTCCCTCTCCTCAATGTAATTAATGTTGTATAATTTATATATCGAATTCTGAAGAACATTTTACTAATTAAATACAATATCGGTACTCTTTAATCGATCTACATTCATCAATATTCATCAATTCGTTCTATTAATTAATTTATCATTTGTTAAATCGAATTCTCGAAATTACGTGGAACTGCGTTTCATTTTTCTTTTTTGTTCGTTTAATTCTGAAAATGGGGAATTTTATTATACACACTTGAGACGTGGCTCGTAGTTCGACTCGTAGATCGACGGGTGGGCTAGTTTCCTCGATAATTTTGCTGGTGGAATTCGTGGTGGAATTTTCTGGCGGGGGATCCAAGTGTATCGTGAACGATGCACCGCGCATATAAAGGATGTCCTCGACGGCATCTTCATCGTCGTCCGTGTCTTTGTTCAATTCGTCGTTCTCCACGTCTTCCACCAATTCGCCGAGCTCGCCTGTCGACGGCGATGTCGAATTCAGCTCTGGAACAAAATACCATTCTAAAGAAAACCCACGTCCTGTCGATCTCATAATTTTTCTGCAAAATATATGTAATATATAATTTAAAAAGATCATGAAATAAGTTTAATCCGCTTCAAGAATTACAGGCAAAGTGAATATCAAGTGGTATACCTTTGATCTTCGTTCAAAAAACAAACGGAAATATCACGGTAATTTTTTTCTTCGACATCTAATAACATAATCTCCTAATTAAAAATCTGTAATGTGATTCTTTTCCTTCCACAGAACGTCTAAAGATCCATGAAAACGAAGAATATCGAAGGAAAGAAATTAAAAGTGAAAAAAAAAAGGTTCGAAGAAAAGGTAAGAGGAAGAAGGTTGAAAAAATCTCTAGGTAAGATATTTCGTCTTGCTCTTTCCGTGGAAAAGAATATTTCGTTCTTCCTTCAATTTAATTAAGTTAATTTCTGTTGATCTTAAAGACTAATTTACACATCCTTCGATTCGTAAACAACCAACCAAATTCATTCGCAGGTCTATGCTGGGTCAATATGCAAAATGGCGAATTTCTGGCCCTCCAATTTTCACAGTTGGCCAAGAATAAACAAGCGAATAGATCGAGTGATTAAATTTTTTGTCAATCGCTAAATAATACGAGAGAGAAAAAGTTAAAAAAAAAAAAAAAAAAAGAAGAAATGTTGAAATATCGATTTCACGTGATAGTTAATTAATTGACATGGAAACAAAATTGATGTTATAGTTATTACAAAACGTATACGAGTTTTAAAACGAATGTAACGGTAATAGTTATTTATTATTGGAAATCGAATGGATTTTATTTTTATGTATCTTTAACGATACATCTTGGATACAAATAAAACAAGGCCAACGATCTTTTCCCTCGAAATTATTTCGAGTGACGATTAATTCGATATTCGATCACCTCTTCGAAGGAAGAAGGTATTAAATTCTCGGCTTAAATTCGAAAAGTCCTTCGCTATCCTCGAAGATTACGAGGATTAAAACGGCAATGAGCCGATCTCTTCAACACAAAATTATTATTAAAATCGAAGGTTGCATCCATGCCAAAAGAGGAAGAGAACGAAAGAGAGAGAGAGAGAGAAAGAGAGAGATAAGCTTATTAAATTTTAAGTGGTCGGATTAACGGCGTGTTCTCGCCCCTTTTTGCGAACAATCCTGGATAACCGTCTATATTGTGCATGATAAATCGAGGGAAAAATCATGGAACAAGGGGCCCACCCCTTTGAGAAGAAAGGGGAAAAAGGCTCGAGGACTGTTCCAGCCACCGAAGCACAGCGGCAATTAAGCACTAATTGCTACAATCGTCCTCGAATAATCGTCTCGAAAAGAATCATTCCAAAGACCGCTCTCGACTCGTCGTCGAAATCACTGGGATCCCCTCGATTGGCTTGGCGATCGAGCCGAGTGGCCGATTTGCACGGAGAACAACGAATTGTTCCAAGGATAGAAAGAATTTTATTATCTTGCTAGTGATAGTGAAACGAGAGGATATTTTTCTCCACGCTTGATGAAAATTTTTTATCGAATAATAAAAGAGGACACGTCGAATTCACACCTCGACTCTCCTTAGTATTGGATGATCGATGATTGATCGATAAAATTACGAGTTATATAAATTCTGAATTTTGCCAGCATACATAATTAATAACAATTATTAGAATATTAGAAAAATAAATGATTAAATAATTCTTAAGTTTCTCCCAAAAACAGCGATTTAAAAGAAAGGAAAGGAACGCACGATCGAAACAATTTAAATAGATACCTGTTGGGTCCAAGAAATAAAAAAATAATAATTATCTTCTCAACCTCTAACGGAATCTTCCTAATGAATTTAATATCATCAGGAGATGAAAAATTCTTCTAATAATTCCCTCCTCCTTGCCTCGAGGATAAGAGATTAAAGCCATAAAACAAAAGACGAGAGAGGCTAGGGTGCAGTATCCGTTGAAGCGACTCCAAGATCCACGCCCATCTACAAGTCTCCTACAATTAGTTCGCCAATTCAGAAACAGCCCGAAACTACCCCCGCAAACTACCCTCTTCCGTCCAACCACCGAAATGTGTCGTGTCCAATTTGATTTTGATTCGCTTCCGGGGCAAGCTTTTGCTATCAGAGGAGGAGTCCCGGGATGTTTAACGCGTTTTAATTTTAATTTCGATAAATAAAACGTTGAATTAATCGCATCGTTCATCTTAATTAAAACGGATTGTCATTTTTCAATTTGCAACAGTCCCATTCTACCGGAACGAATTTATTTGCTTTATTATTCTTGCTCGAGAGCGTGACCATTTGATGAAATGTAATGGAAAAGAAAAAAGGGAAAGGGAAAGGAAAGGGAAAGAAAGAGAGAAGATAGGAAAGGGAACGAAAAGGAAGTTGAAGCAGGGACGCGTCGAGCGCGAAAGTTTTATCTTCCTGGTTGAAATCGATTTTATATACGAGTTTCTGTGCCTCGTAAATGAGAAATTCGTGGAAACGATATGGAGATAATATATGTGCTATGTTGTATATGATATATTTTCGTAAGTGAAGGGATTTAACGTATTAATGGCGTTGATAATTCATTTTGAAACGTGAAATGAATTAAATTTAAATTCGTTCCTCTCGTTCGAGGATGATAATTCAAGGATTTATCACACGATCGATAATTTTTAACTTGTAAGGTTTGGCAAATGTAGTAAAAAATAGGTTCGAATAATTTTCTCTATTTCTTGAAACGGATTTTGATTGAACTTGGAAAATTTCTTCGCAACTTATTTACATGAAATATCAAAGTTTCATTCATGAATTTGATCGTACGATTAAATATGTTCAATGTATAACGAATGAAGAACGAATGAAAAATTGATTTAGAAAGATTATTAAATTATTTTAAAATTAACAAACTAAGGAAAAATATGCTATACCAATTTAAGGATACAAACATCTTATTTAAAATAGTTCCTTCGATGATATATACGCTCGTTTCGCGCGCAAGAAAGATAGAGCAGAAAGAAGAAACGAATGATTTCGATTAAATGCTCCCCTCTCGGGTGCATTTAACTCTCTTAAATGGAAATTTTACGTCGATATTGTTTCCACTGGACAACAATGTCTCGTGGAAACAAAGGGTAGAACAGCTCGAATCTACAACGAGGAGGAACAAAGTCTGACAGGAATTCTCCAACTTCCAAAATGGTGTTATCGACTGCGAGGAATTAAGGATAATTCTCTTCTGTCCCGAATTGCCGCCAAAGCATAGCACGGGATGTTTCGCGTTATAAGAGCAAGTTGGAGGAGAGAGAGAGAGAGAGGTTCCTCTCCTCGAGATGGCGAAACTGCAGGGTTGTTCGAGTTAAAACTAACGCGATACGATGTGTACAAGTTGTATGGGAATCGGTTTTATTGGAAACTTGTGCTAAACGAGGTCGACGAAAATTGGATTCGTTTTTTATAGCTTAGATAATCGGGACGATAAAGGAAACAATCGGGATAAAATGGAATTGGAGTGTTAAGAGTGTTTTCGATATTTCAAGTGAAATTAAAAAAAAATCGGGAATACAGAGTTCTCCGTTTTAAATTTGAATAATTCGTGAATTGAAATTTCATATTCGATTGTTTCAAACCCGAAATTGGAAAATTGAAAAAAGTTTGATGGGGATGAAAAGATCGAAATTCGAAACTTGACAATTTAAAAATTCCTTGTTTCAAATTTATCAACTTTCATTAATTAAGTCATTAATTAAAAAATTACAAGTTTAAAGAAGAGCCATTCTTATCTTTCACACTTCACTTACTTCCTTTTCAACCATTTCCTAAGATAAGACTCGTTTCTTTTATAGAACATAAAAAAAAAAAAATTACACAACTTCATATATATATATACAAAAATATAAAAAGAATAAAAAAAGAAACTCTAAACATTATCACAAAACAGCGTTGAAATAGTCTGCTAGAACTTATAAAACACCCATGTTATCGCGAACGCAATAACCTTGGAAACGATTATCGGCTATCGTTGTCGACTTTTCTCGATATCCCGAGTGGAAAGTTCCATCGATGGTCAGACGCGTCGACGGATAAGTCGACTACTCGAGAGAGAGAGAGAGAGAGAGAGAGAGAAAGTCGAGTCGCGTTTCCCTCTCGCAGGAAAATCCTAGGAAGAAAGGGAGGGGGGTGGAAAGTTTGTGATCCCAAAGTGGCAGCAGGGCGGGGCGAGTTTTCGACGATAATCTTTGGGGCGGTGAGGAACGTTCAGTCCAGCGTGTATAAGCTGACGTTTATTCGAGCGTGGCGCTAATCTGGCGGGTGCATTTAGTCGGCTCGTAAAATTTGCATGAATTTCAACAGCTTCTCCTCGAAGTGGTTGAGAAAGATGAAAACTCCTCCGCGATCCATTTTTATCTGCTTCCTTTTCATCCCACCCCGGTTTCAATGAGATACTCTTTCTCCTTTCAGATCACTGTTTTAATAATCGACCACTGGCTCTGGAATTTGGAGAAATGTTATAAGATACAATTGGAGAATTTATGTATATATAACTCGGATCCCTATCTTTCGAAGTGGAAAAGAGACAATTATATTTTATAGAAAAAAAGGATTAAACTCGATGGATAATTGACATGTTAATAATTCGCAAAGGGAATTCACATTTTCTCGTCGTTTCTCAATCGCACTGTTTAAAACGAGAGGAAGCCAAGGTTCGTTACAAGCTAGCTTCGTTTCCTCTTTTTTCGTCTCGAATATATCTTTCTCTTTCAGAGTGGCAAGGTTAATGCTTCAAGGCTGATCCGCATATAACCTGTCCGCAAACTTTCGCGAAACTACGTGGACGTGTTGGCTGAGTGACGTTTTTCATCACACTTTCAGACTGCTCCTTCGTCAAACGATCCTTGGCAAATTGAGAATTCAAGTCGAGAGTCGAGAATTTTTTGTCATAATGCACCATTTCTTCTCATGCGGATACATCCCTCCCTATATTAATTAATTCTCTTGAAT